CACTTCCTGGTTCAAGTAGTCAGCCATCCAGCAGAGACCTTGTTCCTCCTCCACCTCCCATGCCTGGCATGGACATTGCATCACAACCCCCGTGCCCTCCACCACCACCGCCCCCACCTCTAATTCCCAAATCTGCAGCTTCTGGGCTGGGAGTTCCCCCATCTCTTGGACCAGGTGCTTTGTGTCCACCGCCACCGCCACCAATGGTGAATGGAGTAGCTGGTCCAATGCCAAAGGCTCCTGGAGACATTCCGGACTATCTAACATGTCCTGGTCAACGACACTCTCTGCCTGCTAATTTTTCATCCAGTACATTATGGGCTGGTCATTCAAGTACCCCTCAGTCATTTTCAACACTTCCTCGAAAAAGAATGAGAACTCTGAACTGGACCAAGGTGCCACCCAATGTTATAGGTAATATTTTTTTCTTAGCATTTTTTCCTGCTTGGCTTTATTCTTGTTAATCTTCATTTTCATAAATTTTAATAAATATGTATCCCAGATACTCTATCATGCACATTCTGTCTACATCTGTCATTATTTAATATATTTTATTTGTTGTTAAGTTATTGCTAAACGGAACAATTCCCTACAATTCTTCTTTACAATTGTCCACAGATAACAGCATCTGGAAGAGTCAACCAGCAGCACTTTCATATGAAATGTCAGCTCATCTTGCTCGTTTAGAAGAACTCTTTTGTCAGAAATCAGCTAGTACAGCTTCTACTCGAGGAACAAACACACGACCCAAATCATCTCCTCCTGGAAGTCGTTATGCTCCAGCTCCTTCAGAAGAAGTGAACTTGTTGGACAGCAAGCGATCCTTGGCAGTAAACATTTTTCTGAGGCAGCTGAAGAAGTCTCCAGAAGAAGTGGTTAAAATATTGCAAAAAGGGGATGCAACTGCGTTAGGTGTAGAAAGATTACAAGCTTTGGTGAAACTTCTTCCTGAAAAAGCTGAGGTAAGCCTTGACCTAAAATGTGAATTTAACTTTCTTACTCAATCTAAAAGTGTAGTGTTCTGAAAGTGTCTGATAATCTGAGAATCTTGCAAATGAATAATAGAATGGAGCTTAAAAACTGGTGTCAATTAACTATTGTTGTGCAAATCATTGAACTGTTCTCGATTAATTTGAAATTTAGTTTGTAAAAGTACTTTTAAAAAATTCTTAGTGAGTGTGTTGTTTACATTTTAGGTTGAAATGGTGAAGAGTTTTGCTGGCGATCATACACGTTTGGGACTGGCAGAAAAATTCTATGACTTGCTGGCAGGTGTGACAGCCTATGAACTTAGAGTAGATTCAATGCTTTTGGTGAGCAAATTAATTTAATTTTATCTATGTGTAGAAAATGCACTGAAACTCATTTTTAATTCTTGCTAAAATCATCACCTTGCAGAAGGAAGAATTGGAATCTCGACTTGGAGAAGTTCAACCACAATTGGAAGCAATTGTTAAAGCCTGCGATGATATAAAAACCAATGAATCTTTAAAAGAATTTTTACTTTTGGTCTTGCAATTGGGCAATTACCTTAATCAGGTACGAGATACTTATGTCATAATTTGTTATTAAGTTTAATTTGATGAACTTTATAGGAGTCAGGAATTAATTTTTTTTCAAGGTCTAAGATGGTCCTAAAAATATTGTTTTTAATGAAACATATGTGATTGATATTATTTAAATTGTGTATATATTCAATGAATTTTCAGGGAAGCTATGCAGGAAATGCAGTGGGTTTTAAATTGAATGCACTCCCTAAGTTGTTGGAAATGCGAGCAAATGCTCAACACATCACCTTTTTGCATTACGTAGTGGATGTTGCTACCAACTGCCATAAAAATGCCCTTGTATTTATAGAAGAACTGGCATCTGTCTCATCCCTTTCTCGGTTTGTGTAAATTCACCATAATAGCTATATTGTTAACAATTATTTAGATTAGATGAGGTTTACTGTAACTGTAATTGTGCAATAATAATATTGATAATGGTAATAATGATGATGTATTATTTTTTTATTATTATTATTATTATTATTATTATTATTATTATTATTATTATTATTAAATAATTCATTATTTAAAATTATGCCTATTTATTATAAATGTCGAGATCATCTTTTGAAAAATAAGAAAAGATTTGAGTATTATCACTCGGTGACATTGCTGCCTACTAATTAAAAAAAAATAATGAGTCTTTTATTTATTTTGTAGTTTATCTTTGGAGGCAATTTTGGATGATGTGAATAAACTTGTTGACAAAGTAAGAAGCATCAATGAGGAATTGCAGAAGGCACCTGAAGATGTTCAAAGTCAATTCTCTGGTAAGATATTTTTGTGAAATTTGATACATGATTTTATATTGTTATCCTGTAATGTACCAGCCTATAGTTATGCTCTCAGCCTACTGGAAAATGCCACACCCATGATGGACATTAGTCCAGCTGCCCAGAAACAACTGACCTGTATACAAAACATATACCCATGTCTTGTGCATTATAATGTCAGAAAATATTTAAATGAAAAATATGTAAAGTAATTTTATTTGGTTTTCTAGAATAGCTTTCTTTCCTTTATAGTATACTGAATTATCACCCATTAGAATTTTGTGACTAGCTTTTGTTATGTAAGGGTGATACAATTAGAAGCAATCCTGTGATAGAAAGAGCAGAGTAATTCATAAATTTTTCTATTTTTGCAATGACATATTTTCATACTCATTTCAGATTTTCTCTCCAAAGCCCTTGAGAAAGTCAACAACTTGACCACACTCACAGAAAATGCTCAAGAAGCTTGGGCACATTTAGCCAAACATTTTTGTGAAGATCCAGTCAAGTTTACTCCAGAGGAAGGGTTTAAGCTTCTAGCAGACTTCTTCCAGAAAGTCAACCAAGCCCTAAAGGACAATGAACAACACAAAAAGAGAGAAGCTCGGAAAGCTCTGATTGAAAAGAACTCGCCTAAAGTTATAATGAAAACGACAAATAAACAGGCATGTTCCTCTAATGCTAAGAGTGCAATTGACATGCTCATGGAAGAAATCAGAGGTGGTAACTTCCAACTGAGAAATACAAAAATCAGTACTATTCGATAATCTCTGTTCAGTCCTGAAAATGTCGAGCACCTACAGAATCAGTAACCAGCCAAAATATCGCTGGTTCTTGATAGCTTGTCAATTTCCACTCAGAATATTGACTTTTCATAAATATTCAAAGAACATCCCCCAATAAAATTTAGAAATTAACGGAGGTTCTTTGTGAATATACATTTTTTAAAAAAGTAAATAATAATAATCATCATTCTTCTCATGTGATTCTCTTGTTTCAAAGATACACACAAATTTCATGTACTAGGAACTAGAGATTACAAACCATCTTTTTCTGATTTCTTCCTTGCATTAAGCACACTTGTAATTATATTGTACAGTGTAATGTCTTGAAAGTACTTTTATTTTTAATAGAAAAAGCTAATTAATCATTTTAGAATTTTATACCATAATTTTATACCAAAGCATAAGGTCACCTTGTATTTAATCTTATTTTTCTAGTTGTAGATCATAGAATCTCATTAATTGTACTCTGTGAAGTGATCGTTATGTAAAAACTGTGTGTTTATTTATTAATATGTCTGTGCTATGTCAAGCAAGTCTTGTGAGTGCATTCTATGTCAATAGCATATAATATTGTGACAATTGTGTACAATATTTTGTTAATGAACTGTATTCTTCAAAAGTTCTTTTATTTTTTCCCCTTCTGTTCCTCATAAAATTATTATTCCTGTAATAAAATAATAATTGGGAGACTGAGAGAACTTCCTGAGCAAATTCAATTTTTAAGATGCTCCTTAAAAGTTAATGTAAATTAAAAATGCTTTTGATCATTTGATTGCAATTTTGTCATCACATTCTACCATTTCTAATATTACACAGCTTGCCTCAACTTGTGATTGTTTGTTGATGCTTGTTCTGTGAGAGTCTTGTAAATGTGTGTTTTTATTTTTTCATCTTATGTGAACATTTCTTAAGAATTATCGACAGAGATATTTTATGAAACACTTCCGTTACAGTTACTTAGTATAAGGAGAGAAAACAAGAGGCCTGGAGGAGTAGATCCATGGAGGCTCCTTATTTCAAACAAAAGTCCCATCCCTCCAAATACATAAAGAATTCATTTCTCCATGCAACAGAAATAATAGCAATTAATTTGAATTTGAAGTAAATACATTTTTTTATTTGTTTTGAATGAAAAAATTTCGGGTCCCCAATAGAATTGGGGCATGAGACAAATAGCTCCAGTTGCTCTCCCTCCTGCTTAGTATGATAAGAAGATAAAAATCATTAACAAGTGGAATTTATTGAACATTGAAAAAAAGGGAAAGAGTAAAATAAAGTGAACATATGGTAAAATATTACCATATGTTGTAATAAAATGTGTTTTAACTTCAGAAATACAAAATTGATGGAAACCAGAGGCAAATTTTTTAAATTCTCATGTCATCTTTCTGAACTTTTGTTTGGCTGCATCATAAAAGAGATATTACAACTGTGTTCTTCACTCTGTTAACGTACACTGGTGGTTGATTGACAGTGGCTAACACAAAACTCATGATATTGATCTGAGACCAAACTTGTTGATCTGGCTGCAATAAAGCACTGATTTTTGAACATGTATGAATGCAACAAAGCATTTAAAGAATTCCAAATGTGGATTATTTTTATAAATCCTTTATATTTTTCTGAGACATTGGTATTTTCCAAACCCTAGCTTAAAGAATAGTTTTTTGAGATGAATAATTAGTTGAAACGTATGCTTGAAAGAAATACCAAATCTGAATATGTGGCCAAACAATTCAAAACATGAACATTGAAATCAGTTCTTATCTCTGTTATGATGATCACAATGAAAAGGTTCAGGTAATTAAAAAGAAAGTAAATCGGTATGAGCAAATGACAGAAAAATGTTTTTTTCTTGTAACTCTTTGAGCAGAATATTTAAACAGTGATTTGATATAACTAGTACAATGTTTTCTCTGTTATCTCTATAGACTTATTATTAGAAAGAAATGTGAATCTTGAAAAACTTCATTTTCAGATATTAATAGAAGACCCTTATTAATAGACATTTTCTAACACAACTCTTTGATATACATGTTAGGTCAATGAATGTATAAATCATTACAGCTTTTTATTTATTCGTTTACTACACAGTCAAACTGAGACAAGATCATTTCTCTTTGGCATTGAAAAATATTTTGATATTTGTCCTATTTCTCATGTCTGCAGAGAACCCTTGTGGTAATCTCATGTCAAAAAAAATCACATTTTAGTGTGTATGTAGTACATGGACTCCCCCATTTCACTCCTCAGAAAGAGTGCAGAAAAATGGTTCCATTGTTCAGCTTGAGACCTAACCAACAACAACAGCAACGTTTTATTTACTGGTGCTGGTCAAAGTAATTTTAAAACTGAGGCTCTCAAACTTTTCAAGGATTGACCCCTTTCACCTCACAAAGTTAATGTAAACAATCGAAGATATTGCCCTAAATCATGAGTTTTAATTAATATTCTGTCTAAATTAATACATTACATTTACATTACATTGAAAAAAATCTTTTAAATATGTATAGTAAATAATTGCAAGAAAATGCAAGAAAGTTACTTTAGTGGAACAAATTATTTCCAATTGACATGATTTTGAATTACTGAAACTAGTAGAGGAAAAAGTTATAAATCATCTGAAAGTAAACAAAATATTTGTGTTTGTGCCTTAACAATTCAACAATGCTGTCTTTTCCGTTGACTCGAATGATTACAAAATACAAAGCTTTACCATCAATTTGAAAATTCATAATTGTGTTTAATTATTACATCTAAAACTGGATATTTTAAACTCTGAAATCGGAGGTTGAGTTATCAAAATTTTCTATGAGATAAGTGTGTCTGCATTGTGATTGTTTTCTGAAGTTTGTTTCTCCAGTTAAAAAAATTGAAGTCAATCAGTGAAAAGAGAAAATTCTCACTTAAAATCTTCTCATGTAACCATTCCAAGCTACCGTGTATCAATGGCAGGGATACATGTACCACAGATAAAAAACTTCTGGTTTAGAGTATGTGTTTTAGAGCATGTTTAGGCTGTGTGTAAGGCTTAGAAATAAATTTTACCAGGCAAATTTCTTTGCTGCCATTTGCCCATTTGAAAAAATGGTCAATTCTGCATAAGTGATATCTTACAAGAATATCACCCCTTCCTAAATAGTATTTGCATTTGGGTAAATGGCTTAAATTAGTTCTTTCCCAGAGATAACATGAACATCTTAATAAGATGTCATCCTAGACTCTTCTAAACAATAATTTTACAGTTGGTTAGTATTTCATTAAAACACACACACACACACAATTTATATGAAATTAGAAAAAATAAAAAAAATAAAAGATGAAAATGAAAAAAGAAGAAGAATGTTATTCTTCTAGAACAATTTTGAGACGGCAAATGTTGTTCCGCATAATGTGAATGAATTAAAATAGATACAAGTATGAAAATCCACGGAACAAACTTTTTGACAATTTCTTTAGCAACATTTATCTTTTAATCAATTACTATACAAAGTTTTAGTACATAGAATTTGATAAAATACCACAAACCTTACCCTTTCAACACTATTTAAATAGTAATACACAATTTTTTCTTAAAAATGGGCCAAATGAAGTGACAATGTCAGTTTTATTAAAGATTTTGCTTTGGAATAAAATTTGTTTTATTATTGGCCTTTAACTTTTTCAGAGAAATGTGTTCTCCAGAGCTGTACGCAATGTAAAAAAAGGCTTACCACGATGGTCATGCATCAGGGCAGAGCAGAGGGGCGTAGCATGAAGAAGTTGAATATTCTTCAAGAATTCAACTGTAGCAGTAAACAAATCAGAGAAAATTTGACAGTGTGTGTTAAATTACAAATTAATGAGCTACTTATTCTTTTAGTATATAACATTCCAAGAGAAGGATGAAAACAAAAAGAAAATTCGCATTGCTACTTTTGTAATAGAACTACTTTACTGCACTGTAATAAAGACATATTTTAATCATGTAAATAAAAGTTTGTAGGCAATTATTATTTTGTATGTACAAAATTATTTCTGTTAACGTATGAATTCTACAAAGAAGGAATTAGGTGGTGGTTTGTCTACATTATAAATTGCATTTTTCAAAGAAAAAAAATTCTTTGAAAATGTGTTCTGTTTATTAGCCTTTTCGTCTTAATGTTTAAAAATATGTTAATCTTAAAATAACAACTAATGACTATTGAAAGTAATCAATAAATTTGAATGGCTCTCAAAAAGATATTCACAATTAAAAGTCATAGAATTTGATTTAGATAAAATGTACAAATTTTTCAACTTCAGGGGCAAATTAAAACAACAACAGACGTGGATCAAAGAGCTACACACTAGTAGCAGTTGTCCTTCTCTTGAGAACCATTTCTTGTTTAAAAAAATATTCGTTAAAATGATAGGATTTACAACTAATATAAAACAAATTTCTTACCTGTGTTTTAAATGTAATTTCTGTAAATTAATTTCAAATATAATAAAAAAATTGTCATCCAAAAAAAGGAGAATCTGCTCAGATTATTTTGGAAAGGTGTGCTATTGTGTTGCATAAAGCCCACGAGAAGTAACAGGAACTTTTATGTACTGAAGTTTGGATGTATGCATTGATGCCTTTGGATTTAGAACACAATATATTGAGAAGAGTAAAATCAAATCAATCAATTTTTATCAGTTGTGTTTACTTGACATTGCCTGAACAATACTAATCTCCACTTATTAACTAATTTCCACTTAAAAATTGGTGGTTCAGCTTATATTTGGAATAAGAAACATGAAACTTGTTTCCCACTGACAAAACTAATCCAAATGTAATTGTGTATTCATCACCTATTACCCCAACAATTGCACCCGAGTAAATCTTGTGGATTAAGGTATGTTTGTTTATAAAGGCTGATCTCTCAATTCCTGTTTCTGTAGGTATAATAAAATGGAAGAATTTTAAGGGTTTTGGCTTATTTTGTTTAAAATGTAGTATGTATTACATCACCAACATGAGGACCCATGTAGTCTTATTGACCAGGGAATGTGTGATGATTACGGAGGGTCCAACATCTTTGTCCCAGTTCCCGTTACATCAAATAGGGTTACCAGATGACCTGATTTATCAGGACATGTCCTGATATTTGGACCTTATCCTGACTGACTTGTTTTCAAGTTCTGATTTTTTAGTCTCTACCATTTATTATTTTTGTAATTTTAATATTTTTAACATCAATGTACAAAAAATAAAACTGATTGAGAGAAAAAAAGTTCTATTAGAAGTGAAACTCAGTGTTTCTCCTATAAGAACTATAAGTGTGTCTTACCCTTATATTGTTCAGGAAAGTCTCGTACTAAAATGTTTCGGGCTATTCCAATACTACTTTTTCTGTATGCTGTCTTTGGAAAAGTAATAAATATTTTAGAACTTCGGATAATTCTGGTTCCGGGAACGTCTGTTACTTTTAAGTCTAAATGTCGATTGCCTTAATAAGGTTTCTTGTTTTAGATCCACGCCAACTACGTGCATTTAAATACACCGCGATTCAAATCGATAAGGTTTGTCGTGGTAGTACCGGATTGTTGTTGGCAATTCTGCTCTTTGAGATAAGATTGGATGAGATGGATGAGATCTAGACTGTAACGCATTCTGTTCATGGCTCACCGTACTACTAAATTCTTCATAATTCTCATAAATGGCACGTTCTTGCATGATTTAGAAATAAGAATATTAAGATAATTATTTAATGCAGTAGTATAAGGAGTATTAGTTAACTACGAAATTACCGCATCTTGCTTTCGAATTTCCCGTTTTAATCCCATGTGGTTGCCCACGTGAACGATCCACAATATGGCTAGAGTAGAAACTTCACAGCTGATTATTGTTTATACTGTCACTGCCGCATACCCTGGTATTGTATTCCATTCCATTACAATTGCTGATGTCAACTTCGTCTTCGTGTTTATTGTGGCCTAGGCTTGCTAGTAGAATTACTTTTTGAAACCTCTACATCGATTGCTCTTGATTAATAAATGAAATTTCTGCATTTTTTTGTTTACTTTAATTTTTTTTCGAACATTAGATTGAAATTGGATGTTCGTATTGGAACTAGCTACTAAATGTCAATGTCAGCCCCCCGTACAATGTCAGCCTCCCGTATCTTTCCGTGTTTCAGTTGGTTGAGACCAAGCTGGGCCCAGCGAGTATTATAAGGCGAGGTAAGGCGAGGCCAGGATTCGGCCTCACTCTTGGCCTGCACTGTGCCCATTCTTGACATGTGTGGTCTTCAAGCTGCATTTAAGATAACGTAGAGTTCAACGTAATCTCAAAAGTTGTTGAATCGTGTGCATCGTTGCAGGATATCAAACGCATACTCTGATCAAAAGTACACATAGGAATGGTGCTATTAAGTTACGTACTTCGCACGAGTACCCAATACACACCGAAAAGTTTGTATAAGTATCTTCTTAGACAGTGCGATAAATTACCTAGTGATGCAGCGCAGCATTATAAACACGCAATCAAACAGGTACTGCAGTCCTAGCCTGAATGCGAATATTCTAAGATATTCATTCAGCATTACTTTAGTAAGCCGTTTTTTAAATACTATATATGCCAAACCTATTGGACAGTGGGTTGTCTACCTAGTAGCTTTTGTTAGGTCATCAGCTTACCTCCTAACTCGCAGAAACTACCAGTGATGAGGGTAGTTGTATTTTCCCTTGATGTTACCTATTAAATATGAATTGAATGTGTGTACGTGTGACTTACCTAAATCTTAATGAGTTAAATAGATATTGAGACTTTTTTAAATACCTAGCTTTTGTGAATTCCATTGATATTCTTGAACATTCGTATGTATTTGTAATTTTTCAGAGTTACAAGCAACATATACTCGAAACTGATCAACAACGGGTTCAACAAATTATCAAGCGAGCTGTGGAAGATGCAGAATGGGTAATAAAGAAGGTAGTTGACCACTCTCAATACTTCACGTGTGTCAAATATGTAGGGATTCAAAAAGAGAATTACTGTTACGGCAAAAGAAATGTTTAAATCTCAATACTTCATGTGTGTCAAATATGTAGGGATTCAAAAAGAGAATTACTGTTATGGCAAAAGAAATGTTTAAATTAAAGGTTTATTGACAAATTGACTTTAATAGATAAAATTCTGGTTTTGGAGGTTTTACCCTGGATGAACTTTGGTGATCTGCAGTGTTAGAAGCTTTCGATAAATCAAGGAAGAAACCATTGAGGATTCTTTTCACTCCTTTTGTCATGAGTATTTCATTTAGAGAAGTAAATAAGGCGGTTTTGGTTGATTGATCTTACCATAATCCTTGGAGCAAGTCTGTGATAATATTACAGAGCTTCAAATAGCTTTTGAACCTTTCATAACATATTTTTGAAAATCGTAATAGAAGTGATTTTAGCTGCTGGTTCTTGACATCTAATTTGCTGCCTTTTTGTGGATTTTATTAACTATTGCAGTTTTGAATATGTTTGGTAAGGAGCTATGTATTAGTGTGTGAGATGACATACAGATATGCAAGTGGATGGATTATTGAAGGGTCAAATTTGTATGATTAAGTGTAGAATGTTGTCATCCAAGCAGATGATTTATTATTCATTTTGCTTATAATTTGAAATAGTTCTCATTCTGAAGATGTGTTAGAACATATTTGAGGGAGAACCATAAAAAAGAATGTGATTGATGCAATATGTACTGAGTAATATTTCTTTTCTTGTTGATGTTTTGAGTTTCAGAAAATGATTGTCATTAGCTTCATTAAGAATTGTGAATCTTTATTTCCATGGGCTAGTTCATTATTTGTTATTGTTTTTTCAGTTGATGATGTGATATTTGTCCATTGTCCACAAAGCTTCTGTTTTATTTTTAGTCTTCACAAGAACTTTAGTAAACATTTGTTTTGCATGGACATATTTAAATTCACATTACTTTGCAAGAAGTTTAGTCTCTTGTTATTTTTTTTTTATTTCTACTTGCATTGCAAATTAGTGATTAGTGCTGTTGTTTTATGTTTACTTGCTTATGATATTGCTCTTTTGTTATATAACTTGTCTATTTGTATTGTTTTACAAATTATTTAATTCAGTATTGTAGAATTATTTTGTTTAAATCTTTTTATTTTTAATTTCAGTACACTGAGAAGAATAGAGGATAAATTCCTGCTTGTTTCGTAGATCCCTTGAGTTTTTTAGTCTTCAACATTTTGAAATATGGAGTCGTCACCAGATGTAATTTTATGTAGATCTCCATTGGAAGATATTTCTCAATATCAACAAGCTGTAGAACGGTGGCATAGAAACCCACATTATGTGAATAGACGAATTTCCACTTCTGTACCTCTGTTCACTGCAAAAGTGCAACATCCAGAACGTAGCCATGATCTTCTTGGACTAATTATAAAATGTGAGATGACATCAAATATGGAAATAACATGTATAATAGATTCATTAAAACAAAATGGTATGGTTATCAAAAATGAAAATTCATCTGAAGATAACACAAATTATTTAAATTTGGAGATAAGGAAGCTTCTACCACGTTATAACAAAGTATTTAAAGAAATGCTCCAGATCACTATCTCAGGTAGAAGAAAATATTTTTGTTCATATTTCATTAAGTTCTTTTTCAGTTGTGTAAATCATTGTGCCTTTACTCTCTTTTTGCACATTTCCTAGTATGTGTAGTTATTATCAAAGTTTGAATATTAATGCAATTATTATTAATTAATATGCTATAATTTTAAGTAAATATTTATTTTTATTTCAGATTCTATTCCGAGTGAATACATATTTATTGGTTTACCTTATGGAAAAGGGGTTATCAGTTCTCCCTTGGCCCCAGTTTATCCTTTTAGCATTCAGTTTGTGAATGAGGAAATGCTGCTTGTAATTTTTGGAATAAATGCTGTGAATGACAAAGCAGCTGTCTGGTTAAAAGAATGCCTATTCCCAAAATTGCAACGCTGGTCAGAAGAAAATCCAAATCAATCTTCACCTGGAATAGAGTCATTGTCCTTAATTTATGCTGATCAGTATTCTGTGCTTTACCAGAACCTGAAGGAAAAATATGGACAAAAATTCGTTGAAGTAAGTATAATTTATAAATATTTTTCCCAGAAAAAGGTACTAAATTTAGTATATTATTCTTTCTAAGAAATTATTAAATTATTTTTGAACTACCAACAATTCTATATAAGAAAGAAAAGACTTAAATTTGAATTATTTTGGATTGAAAATTCATGTATATTTTGAGTTGGTGTAAGGATAAGCTGTAACTACCATATTGATTTGCAGATTTACACCTGAACAAAGTTATAAGATATTTCAAGAGTAGAAAAATCTTAATATTTACATGGTTTGATGCGGTAGGGAAGTAAAGCAAACCTTTGTATTTATTTACTTAGTTTATTTTTTTTACTGGTTACTGTTAGATGTTAGGAATCCTCTCAGCCTTTTCCCAGTTACCCACTTCCATGGCCCTATGTACGGGTGTCTCTATTGTAAAACGTCTTTATGTCTCAAAATGGGGTGAAGATGCTGTGGCAAGCATCGTGCTTGGTTGGATATTTTTACCCAATATTTACTGTTAAAAAACCCAGTAAATATTGGTACTCATTTAGAAAGGAGGCTGAGTGGACCTTGGGATAGCCCTGATTAGGTCATAATCAGATAAAAATTTGTTTATGACCTATTTTATGATGGAAAGGATGTAGTAGTCCTAGAAGAAGCCCAACAAAATTTATTAATAACAAGCATAGGGATTTTCAAATCTCTTCAAAACAGGCTTTCAATCTGATCTATGATGTGTTTTGAAAGCATCTGGTTTGAAGAGATGATATGTAATACAAGTCATATTTTGATTGTGTGACATGTTGAGGATTTTTAAATATCTTGTAGGTACTGTCTATTGTGTAATTTCTGTCATTTAATTTTTCAGTTCAATTCCTTTAATTTATTTTGTAGATAGCTCAAAGACAATGACGTATAACTTTTGAATGGAATAAACTTTCACAAAGTTTTGAATGTTAGTAATGTTAGTAAAGATAGTTTAGATGTTCTCATTTTTGTGATAAAAAAAATGTTTCAGATTTGGTCCGAAAGAACAGATCCCCAGAAGTTTGTGTATGAAGATGTAGCTATAGCTACCTACTTGTTACTTCTCTGGGAAGCACAGCGTTCTCAACAGAATCGTCCTAATTGGAAGCAATCATTTGTTGACATGGGATGTGGCAATGGCCTTCTTGTTTACATCTTGAACAGTGAAGGACATCCAGGATTAGGTGTGGATGTACGAAAACGTGGCATTTGGGATCTGTATCCATCATCCACCCAACTAAAGGTATTGTAGTACACAACATCCTTCTGTAAATTGCAAAGAGAAAATATCCTTGGATCCAGACAGGGACTCTGAAAGATGTTGATGAAAAAGGGCATGTGATAAATTATAGTTTGAAAACCCAATAGTCATAGTGCAAAGCAAAGCACAGATAATTTAGGTTCTTAAATCTTATAAACCTGGAAAAAAAGAGTGGAGGAGGAAGAAAAAGAGAAGGGGAAAGAAATAATTCAAAGTAGTGAAATACCTGGCTACTCTCTTGTGGTATCGTATCCTCCATACCACAAGCCAACAAAGTATTGTTGACTTAAAGGTTATACTCCCTACCATTTCTCTTGTTGGTGCACTGTTGTTGCAGAGTAACAAGCTGTGATGCACTTACTTAAGCCAAGTGGTGATATTAATGTAATATTTCTTTGTAGCAATGCCACATTAACTTAGAGTTTCTCTTGAGTTTTGAAGGGAAATTAAATGTCCAGTCTTGATAAAGGCTTTTTTTTTGGAAAGTTATTTGTTGAGCAATGATCATACTGCAAAAATGCTAATTTATATTGTACATAAATTGTATTTATATGTACCACAATAAATAAAAGCTTTTTTCTACCCTAAAGAACATATTGTTGGCCCAACTTTTTTAAGGCATAAATATCAGTAATTTCTTCCTTTGAGGACTGGTGATTTTTTTCTGAATTCATTATAAATGTCTATTCTATGATTTTTTTATAATGTTAAACAAAAATTTTTACAATATTAGACACACAGAGTAGACGATCACTTTCCATTGTGAGAAATATCACCCTCCTTGTTGGACATTGTAATGATCCATGAATAGAGTAGGAAAGTGAAGCAAATAAAAATAAGTCGTGGAAGTATAAGGGGTGATACCAACATTTCTTAGAACATTTTTGTTGGATATGTATTGTAATGACCTTTTGTCCCTATGTTATGAATAATATTTAAATTGCCTGTTCTTCCTTTGGCAATCACTTAACTGATCCTCCACTCCTGCATTACATCAATAAAAAACAAAAAAATCTTACAGGGATATTTATTCTTGCCAAACTTAAATGGGAAAGAGAAACCACATTAAAGGAATTTTATTATGGATTGTGAGGAACACACCCCTCATGGTAAATGTGTTTCATTCGAGGCAATAAACCCTCTGAACCAGAAATTTTTTCAGAAACAATAGATTCAAAATTTAAATCATAGTTCTGTACCCTTGCACACAGGTGGTTCCTGTTAACATTCTTTTATCTTTCTGTACAATATAGAATAGGCATTCCTTGATCATTTTTCTTAAAGCGGCTCTATATCATGCAAAATTTCTGCTCAGGATGTTCTTAAGTTTTAGGTATTATTCCTTGAATCTTGTATACCTACATTCCTTATCCTACTCTCATTCCCGGCTCTATCCAATGAAATCTCATTGGAATGAAAGAATTGAACACTTTGCAATGTCTGACTCTGCATACCTGCCTGCGGATTTACTGACAACACTGAAAATGAGTATTTTTGTACCCTTATGTTCTGAAATGCTTGCACAAAAGTACCTAGTTCACCCAACCTTGCTTCCCTCACTATGCATACACTGAACTGTCTCCTGAGTTGATGTTTATCAAATTCCTCTAGGGCTCTGAGCCTGAGGATCTTGATATTAAATGATTTTTTAATGACGTTATATGATATTTTTACACTATGAGAGACATAGAATAGATTACCACTTTCCAGTGTTAGCAGTTTCACCTTTCTCTACCTGCCCTCTACTGATTTTGTTTATTCTACTTGTGCCAGTGGAGGGGTAGGGGCATTTGAATTAGCTTAGCGAGCAGAACTCATACTCAAATTAAGATGACATCAGTAAGTGGTCAAGAAAGTTGGTTAGCTCAGTCAGGAGTCCAACAGTTAATTTGCACCCTTGTTAGCTTAGCAGACCAATGGGGGTCTGAATAAGGTGGAGAGGGCAATCCTAAATATGTTGAGGAAATTCTGAAGTATGTAGTTTCAGCATCCAGTGAGGAACAATTGTCCTTCAGATTATTTTTAGTTGCTCTCAGGCCTATTTTGTCTTCTAAATGATGCTTTTCCAAAGAATTATAGAAGTAATTGGATTTCAAACTTTTTGTAGTTTGTGAGCCTTTCATGAGATCGTTATCTACATCTTCACTTAGTTAACTGTGTCCAATTGTGATTAATTTAGAAGCTCTCTAATGTGGACATTCTGCCAAACAACAATCAACACTCCCTATGCTTTCAAAACTCTTTCATCACTTGTGGTAGTGTGTTTCACAATTTATATGAGGGGAGTCTTTCCTCCCCCTGACAGATTTTGGGGGTTAAGGACCAAATGTAAAGATTGATCTTCTTCCGAAGCTTTTTCTTCAATCACCTCTGTCAGTGGTTATCCAATTCTAGCAGGTCAATTTGTATACACTTCTTTGTCCATAGGCTGACAGCACAAACATTTGTAATTTAATTTCAAAAATTTATTAGAAGAGTGAATCCAGTATAAGTATTTTAAACAAGAAAGTTATGGAGTTCAATCTCACTAAGAAAAGAAAACAAAATTGAATCACAGATCTTGTGTACAGTGTGATGGGAAATGAATATAATTCCAATTACTGGGAAAGGTCATGAAGGACGAAAGCGAGTAAATTGTCACAATATCTCGTCAAATATTTGATGTCAAAATCACAGCCTGTTCAGGAAGCAGAGATCATTCTGATGAAAGCTCAAGTTAAGTTAAAGATGCTGCTTCTGCTTGTGCACACAAAGGCAGGTGCCTGGTAGTTACATCAACTAATGAAGTCACAGATATACTAGCTGCAAATACTGATGCAAATAATCAAAATGAGGGAGGTGTAGTAGTACATGAAGATGCTATTGCAACATTGATTGAATGAAGAGAAGCAGCCAAAGCAAGATGTTTGACATAACTGTTCTGATCCATTTAAGTACAACTGATTTCTGTGAAATAAAGCAAATGGAAATGTTCCACTTATATCAACTGTAAAAAAATATTATCTTGCGTTCTTACAAAATTCAATTAACATTTTATTTATGATATAAAGTATTTCACAAACCTTACACACCTGTTTAGTATATTTGTTTCATTTGACCACTACTTGCATTTATCAAAATTTAAAACATATTGGTGTTTATTCTAATAATTTAAATATTTTTATTATCTTGTTATTGTTTCCAGTCCTTTTTATTTTGATTACCTGAATTCTTGATTTTGCTTGTAAACAAACCATGCTGTATAATAAGGGCTCGGATTAAATTACCTAAAGGTAATTGCATATTTTGTTCCTCTTCATCTTGAGTGTTGAAAGTTAAATGGAAATTCAAGTAGTGCCCCCTTCTTTCCATACACCAAATTGCATATCACTTAAAATAAATATTTTTATTAAGTTGCATAAAAAATAAGTATTTTTGATGAAAAAAATATTATTTTATATTTCAATATGTTTTATGTGAATAAATGAGTATTTTCAAGATTAATACATTAGAGTTTTTGGATATATGGTGAAAAACTTTCCAGTTTGGAATGCAGTGTTTGGTCCCATTCCAATGTTATTATTGTACCTTCCTGGATGTGGTTCATGAAGTGGAGTGAAACTGGTTCACGATCTGTCAAACTGTCTGAGGGTCATTTCTGTTGATTCAAGCAATTAAACAGAAATTCTTGGCATGTATAAATAAAAATAAAGGCTCTCATATGATATGTAAAGTTTCACTTATTCTATGAAATGGGAACATTGTACACAACTGAACTACTAAAAGCTGTGAATACCGGTGATATTGCATGTTATGAACACACAAGACTGACATGCTGTGATGTTGTATGAACATTTTTAAAATCCAAGTTATTGTTCCATGATAATCGTCACAGCTTTCAGAATTCAACTGTTGTCATCTATTGTAACAGTTCTTAGTTCTCTGATTAGTTATTGAGAACTAAGCAAGTAATTTTGAGTTTTGGCATGTTTGGAAAACTATTATATCTTTGAAACATTTGTGCTACTTTAAGCAACATTTTTCATTTTAGCATCGCTGTTCTAATTATCCATCCATCTAACCATGCTAATTAGGGTGGAGAAAATTTAATGTCTTCCAGTTCATTTTGTTGTTTTAATATGGATAATAATTAAATAAATATTTTTGTTGTTTTAATACACATTTTTTACTTTTTAAGTATATAAAAAGATAAATATTTTCGGTTTTTGCACCTAAAAATCTAAGCAATAATAATAATAATAATAATAATAATAATAATAATAATAATAATAATAATAATAATAATAATAATAATAATGTAATAATAATAATGTAATAATAATTATGTCTTGTGTAAAACAAAAAAAATATTTTGTGTAGTCTTCAATCAAATAATTTATACACTACCTTTGTTATTTTTTGAAGATTTCTCTTTCTTTCAAATTTTCATTATATCTCTGTATCACTAAGGATTTCAAAAATTTAAACTTTGATTAGGGAATAGTGGAATAGCATAAATGAAAATTTGTTAGAAGTGTAAATCATAAATTTTCCATTTTATTACTGTCCTTAATAGAAAAAGTTGTTCACATCTTGAAATCAGTGCCTCCTAGTCTTCAGGCTCTGAGTTGTGTGTTTTAAGCCAAATTCTACGAAATCAAACCTTTTTAAACCTATTATAGTATTCGTGAATGTTCACCTCTTCTGAATACTCTCACTCTGTATAGTGGGTGGTCAGAAATGTGCAGAATTAGGAAATCTCTGTGAAATTAAATTGACTATTTAATATGTGTAATTTAATCTCACAGGTGTGTCTTTGCTATATGCTTAGGAATATTAGATTGTTTGCCCACCTCAGGCACAATATCTGTAATGTTGTAATGTACAGTTTAGGGTGTGTGTACTTGAAGTTTCATTCCAGAATGAAGTTATTTTCACCTTTTTAAAACAAAGATTTTCAAAGTGCAGAATGTTTGCTAGAGTCCAATTAATCAATAAAATTTGAATGAATGAATTAACAGAATGAAGCCTGTATGCAATGAACAAAGTACTTAAATGGGGTGTAAATATTTATAAAAGGCTTTGAGATCAAGAGCTTTTTCTTCTCAGCAATTTTTTGTATAACAGGACATTATTAATTCTTTTCAATGAAGATATTAAAGATGATTAGTGGGTTTAAATGAACTTGATGATGTGGTAGCTCTACTTTAGTCTTTGCCTTTTTCTGCATTGGTTTAGATGAGCAAAAAAGCCACACTGGTATAAAGTACTCTGCTGTTAGTGTCCTGCTTCTGCTTGCCGTTGCGATCTTTACCTTCCCTCTCCCCCCCTGCTTTCCAGAAACTTCTCGTTCCACGTTCCATGAGGGAACCTACCTTTCCTCTTTTCTTTCTTTCTTATTTACTATTTACTATTATTTATTATTTATTATGTATTAATTTTAATTTTTCTAAGTAGAACTCCTTATCATGCGAATTTTCTTCTTCTCTGATGTTCAGTTTCTCTGAATAATTTTATTTGTGTCAGGATAGTGTGCAACTTGTCATCATGTCCATTTTCAGACTTTTGAATCCTTGATGATGTTCCAAATCTGTGGTACACATTTTAATATCTTCTTGTGATAATCAGTTTTTGGTGTCATTTGTAATTACTTTCTTTTTCCATATACTTCAGACACTATATGTTTACTTAATTTTTTTTATCAATTTTCATGGGAATAATGATTGTTTAAAATTGTATTTATTTCTTAAATTCATTATATTTTATTCTATTTGTTTGCTTTACTATATTTCATTAAAAATCATTAATTTTTGTTTTCAATTATTTATTATCTTTTAAGTTAAGAAATTATTAAATTATAATTTTCCAAAATGAGAGAAGTACAAGAGTTTTTGTCTTGAATAAATACAAACAGTGATCCAAAATTAGTGCCTAATAAGGTATTACATCATCCATTTACTAAATTGATAATTTGTCTTGAAGTTACCACCTCTTTTATTATTTTAGGTCCAGACATTTGTGCCTTCCAACTGCAACACCTTTCCTGAGGCTGATTGGATAATTGGGAATCATTCAGATGAACTCACTCCATGGATTCCAGTGATAGCATCAAAAAGTTCTTATAAATGCAGTTTCTTTCTTTTACCATGCTGTGCATATGTTTTCAGTGGTCATAAATATCAGAGGCAAGACTCTTCTCGTAGTCAGTATTCTGAGTACTTGGATTACATAAAAACAATTTGTGAAAAATGTGGATTTGTTACTAAATTTGATAGGCTTAAGATTCCATCAACAAAAAGAATTTGCCTTGTAGGTTCAGAAAGAAATTATTTGGAGAATAATTTTAAAGATAAACAGAGAGAGATAATTGAATTTATCCAAACATGTTCGGAAGTGCCGGAAGAATCTTCTAAAATTAGTTCTGAAAGCACCCATTCTTCGATTGATTCCTGTTCCTCGGAGATGTGGACTTCTCATTTCATAGCTAGAGAAGCGAAAGAAGAAGTGAGAAATTGTACTAAGATAAAGGAAGGCATATCCAACAAGATTATTGACATTGTTGTACAAATGTTATTAGCAGAAAACAATTTGATTCCTGTCAAAGGAAAAGATGGAAAGGAAAAAATGTGGAATGCAGGATGCTGTGTGAAACTGGGTGATGTCGCAGCATTGTTGCCAAAGAAACTCTTATTAGAATTAAAGAAGGAGTGTGGTGGCCTGCAAACCCTGTTAAGAAATAATCACGAAATTTTTTCTGTTATAAGTGGCTCTGTTAAGCTTTCCAGACCAGCTACTGTTGAAGAAAAGGTTTCAAGATTTAAGAATAACAAGAGAAAAGTAGAAATCAAACTGAAGCAAAAACCTTGTTGGTTTTTTAATTTTCATCCAGATGGGTGTCCACTTAATACTGAAGAATGTTCATTTTGTCATTGATCCTATGTGTGAATATCAAATTGGCATAATTATTTTGATAAATACCATCCTGCTTAGTTTAGTTTGTACATAACATATGTGTGCATAAAATACTTACTAGTTTTCATTATTTTATAATGATTTTATAATTTGAAATACAAAAGATGTGTATTTACTGCAGCAATATAATGGCAGAAATATTGCTTTATTTTTTGATTAAGGCTTAATAAGCATTAAAGCTTATAATGAAATTATGTACTTTCAATCCCCTACTTCTCTCGATACATAATAAATTAAGTTGATTGTCCTGATGAAATAAACGTGTGATAAATGGTTCTTAGAGAAGCTCTGCTGTTTGCTATGATAGCACTATTAGATATTTCAAAAATGCTTAAAGCTTCGTTAAGTTTTGGAAGTATGTTTAATGTTTACTTTTATATATCAATAATTTTCATATATGACTTTTACCTTTGCTTTCCATTTTCACAGATTTTATTACAGTTAGTTCTGCACTCTCTTTACTATTTACTGTGTTACGATGGCTTTTTAATAACTACGGTAAACAGGTAAACGACCAAAAGAACCAGAGGGGTTACAAGAGCACATACTTTCGCGCATTATTGGTAACAATTACTTAATATTGTAATATTGCAATTTCTTACCTATTAACATCTCAGCTATAACTGGGAAAAAGTCCAATTCTAACGAAGAACCTATGGTGCTGATCTGCATTTATTTTGATAGGAAAAGTAATCATGTTTGTTTTACAAGTGAAACAAACATGATTAAATAAAACTGCCAGTCTGGAAGTACTTATTGTCAAATCCAATATAGATGTTTCCCCATTGAAAAGTGTTTTTGTTCCCAAAGTTTAGAATGATAAGATCGTTTCTGGTTACAAACTCACATATAATATTTCCTCTTCTGTCAAAGCGTGTCTTCCCCCATTCTGATGATTTACCATTGAAATCACCTGCTATCAAAACCTCTCCTTTTGTTGTTTTCAGATTTGCCTCCATTTTGTAGATGTCTTTTTAAAATTTCTCTAATGTGTTGTTCGGGTATGAGTAACAGCTATTAATTCTCATATTATTCACCTCAACCCATACGTCGTCTGCTTATATTTATTAATACTTAGCTGGTATCTCGGTACAACATATTCTCGCAATAAGGTTGCTCACTAGTAAGTAACACATCCGCCTCCCTCTCTGCAGCAACCTGCAGCATCAAGTCCCAGGCCTGTCTACTCCTCCCAGGTTAATCTGAAGGAGTCAAAGCATACTTGATATTTTTTTCTTTGAAGAGCCGCTATAAAGGAGGCACATTTGTCACTTCTTAACAGATGTTGGTCCGCTTTGTTTGTGTCTTTACATAAAACACATTGTTCTCTGTTGGTACAGTTCTTAACATGTCCAGTTCTACCACATCTGTAACATACATACATCCGGACCTCTGCAATCTGTTGAAATATGTCCAAAGTCTAGACATCTTGTTATCTGGAGTTTTTCCCTGATTTTACAGTTAACCCATCCAATCTTAACATTTCCTGCCATTATAAGCTTTTGAGCTGTCTCTTCTCCCATTAACATTGTAGCTGTTTGTATTCCTCCATATCCTCTGTGCGTCTTAAAGGGGATGGACATCTGGTCTGTTGCTACTATTGTGTTTTTTTTGGCTCACCACCTCAGCAGTAACTGTTTCATCAATATCTCTAATTTCTATTAGACGCTTTCATTCTAGAGCACTTACTGGAACTTGCTTCCCTACCAATTTCCCCAAAGCCTCATTCAATGAGGCAATATTTCCAAATACAATAAGCATTTCTTCCTTTTTTGTCCTCCATATAACCACTATCTTTGTACTTAGATCACTAGGGTTCACAGTCTTCTTCATCTTTTTTATAATGTCAGCATAAGTTTCCCCTTGTCTAGCTGCCGCTTTGATATTTTTTGTATATTTTTCTTATTTCTGCTTTGTTGAAGCTGCCAATTCTCCCCTATTTGATCTTCTGTCTTTTTAGATTGTTCTATTTCCTCACCCTGATTTACTTGCTTTTCCCCTGGTGTACCCTCCACCGTAGTTATCTATTGTTTATCTTTCTTATCTGTTCTATTAAGTTCTTCTGGTGGACTAGGTGCCACTCTCTTTTTAATTTGTACGTCTTTCTTATCTTTCCTTACCTTAGTTTCCTTCTCTCTACTCAGTTGAGAGTTCTGGATCTCTGAAAATTCTCTTTTCATGTTCTATCTCTTGTACCCTATACTTATATATTATACCCTATAGTCAGGACTTCCTTCACACTCATTGTAATGTTTTTTAGCACATGTTTCTCTATCGCCCTAAGGCTTTGATTCAATTCATCTAGGAGATTCCCTTGGAATTCTACCAGGTATTGCATAGTTCCCCATTTTTCTATTGTGAGGTCAACTGCTGTTTCCTTACTTTCTGCTACAAAATTATTTGATTTCTTTTCCTTCCCTAGTCCCCGCCGGCCCCATGATCCACTTTGCGGCGATATAGGGGGAGTCCTTTGCAGCTTCGATTTTCTAGCAAAGGGATCTTCTACTCTTGTATCTCTATCTGCCAAGGATACCAAGAGATCCGTGTTCTGGGCATTACAGTAATCGGGTGTCGACGGTCGGTGGCCTGCTTGCTAACCAATGATCGCCAGTACTGAGGATCCGACCCCCTGCACCGAAGGGCTCGATCCTAAACGACCTGCCATATTGGCTTTTGAATTCGGGGTAACCTTCCCCAAGCTTTTATACATACGGCCAGGTTTAGATGAGAAAATTAGAAAATAAATATGTTGTAGGGTAGAGTAGTGAGAAATGGAAGAAGAAAGAATATATGTATAGAAGAGAGGAAAGTGAATGTCTTCCTAGCCCTCGAAACCTAATGGCGTTGGGGTCGAAATCACAAGAGGTCGATAGTGTCCAAAATAGGATAGTGGAAAAAAGTGGGCACAAGTAAGTGGAAGCAGTGCCGCACTAGGAGCCCTCCTCCTTTGCTCGGACTTGGGACCGGCAGTGTCGCCATAACATGCAACAGCCACAGGCGGAGTTCTTAATATTAATAGTATTAGTATTTTTTAGGAGGAGTAAAATTCCTTATTGGATACCAGTGAAGCCGGTGATGTCGGACTCCCCACTGGGTTACCGACTAAAAATCTAACCTCCATATCTTTAGCCGTATTCTCTCCCACTCGGAAACTCTCGTTTGGCAATACTTCACGTAGGTGTGGCTGGTAGCAGATGCTGTACTTCCTGTCTTAATTCTTTCTTCATAATACTATGAAGTTTTATATTTTGTTATGTTCTTGGGGATAATAAAAAATTAATTCGGAAAACTAAAGTATAAAATGTTTATTATATTCACAATACATAATAGGTAAGAACGCGCGACAACTTATCAACGGTCACTCGGGAACTCGTCGGAGAGAACGTCCGTCCGCTCAGCGTCCGCTACCATTGACGGCGAGAGACTCAGAGAGACTGAGGCATGATCGTTGCAGCAAGCGAATGGCAGACTGCGCCACTGTGTCGCGTGCTACCAACTGTTGAGCGCCAAATCACCAACAGCAAAGGAGGAATAAATTCAGGGTGCATATGCAACATTTCTTCCCCCTTTTACTAATTGTGTGGTTATGTGTCTGTGTGCGATTAAGTAGGTGAGAATCTTCATGTTAGGACTCTAATGCGAAACGATCTACGTGGGTTCTGAGGAGTGTACAATACGCGTGGTGCTCGCAGTCTCAGATGTCTCGGGGCTAATGGAGTTGCTGGTGTCGATGGCGTCACTGGTGTAGCTGGTTTGGCGAGTGCGGCTGGTGTGCCTGGTATTGCTCGGGGTTCTATGGTGCCATGATATCGAAGTCGCCTTAACGTTGGCCCATTATCAACTGTTCTGCTTCGGGTTCGTTTTGCGGTTTATTATCTGGAAAGGATCTGATCTGGTTGATATGTCTTTTAACCTTTTTGTCTCCAAACTGTTCGAGTAATGAAGATCTCCAAGGCGGTCGACGACAGTGTCTGGAACCCATTTATCCAGGCTAGGATTGCTGGAAAAGAAGTAAACTTGTCCTATTTCCAGTGTACGGAAAGTCGAGTCCATTTCGGTCCGTTGTTTTTCGCTGACCCTGGTGTAAACATCGCTCGGCCTCACCAGATTGAGCCGTGTGCGAAGTTCTCGTCCCAAGAACAGTTGAGCTGGAGTCTGACCAGTGATGGAGTGTGGAGCTTTTCGGAATTGGCGAAGGAACTCTTTCAGGTTAGTTCGCAGGGATCCCTTGCTAGTTTTCATTGCATTAAGTGCGTCCTTCACAGTTTGAACATAACGTTCTGCTTGGCCATTAGCTTGGCCATTGCTGTTACCTTGTGATACTTCACAGCACTGCTCTTCAGAAATTTTTTGAATTCTTCGGCAGTGAACTGTTTGCCGTTGTCTGAGACGACAGTTACGGGGATTCTATGGGCTGTGAATAGATCGTCCATCAGGGCAATTGTTGCAGCCGCAGTTGTTGAAGTTGTAGGCTTAACTTCGAGACACTTGCTGTAGGCATCAACATCAATTAGTTGCATGGTGCCAGCCACCGGACAGTCGGGTAGTCGATGTGTATTCGTCCCCATAGTGCCTTTGGATACTCTCAATGGTGGTCACGAAACTTTAGTGGTGCGTGAGATGCACATGTAGTGCAGGATTTTGCGAGGTTTTCAATGTCCGAGTCGATGCCTGACCAAAACACGAAGGAACGCGCCATTCCTTTCATTTTTACAATACCCAAGTGAGCTGTGTGTAGATCTTTCAGAATAGCATTTCGTAGAGTTGGTGGGACAACGACTCTGTGCTCGACCATCAAGCAATTAGCGGCGTGCGTTTATTTCACTTCTGGAGCCTTGAAGTCGTGGCGGGCGAGATCTTGACCTGTCTCCAAAAGTTTGACGATCGTGCTGAGATGAAGGTCTCGTCTGGTCTCAGATGCAATGGCTTCTGACCTAACAGGTAGTTGCTACGTCTGATGAACTGCAAAAAAATCAAAATCATCGAAATCCTCCACCTCTTCCCTCTGAAGCAGAATTAGTCAAAGTGTACTAAATAGTCCGCATAATTGGCCATGCGACTGATGCAAAGACTTTTCTGGATGAAGGATCTGTGTCAGCGGTTTATGGTCGGTGATCAGTGTGAAGTGGCGAGCGTACAGACATTTGAAGAACTTTTGTGCTGCCCATACAATTGCAAGTGCTTCTTTGTCAATTTGAGGGTACCTCTGTTCAGTTGCTGACATTGTTCGACTGGCATAAGCGATGGGGCGTTCTCGACCGTTGCTGAGTCGGTGTGACAGTACTGCGCCCAGTCCAGTTTTGCTGGCGTCGGTTGCCAATAAGAGTCGCAGTGACGGATCATACTGCATGAGTACCTGGGGCGAGGTCAGCGCATCCTTAAGATCCTTATAAGCCCTTTCGCCCGCTGGGGTCCACACAAGGGGGACATTCAGCAGTATGTCTCGAAGTGGTCGATCTCTGGTTGATAAATCTCG